TGAAAGAACCCGGTGTCAAGGAACCGTGAGTCCCAAACATCACATTACTGTGGTGTTTCCATCCTTCTCTCCTCCTCTAACCGAAAAAAAAGAGAGAAAGCTTCCAGGAACTTACCTCCAGAGCAGGCGGCAGTCCGAGGGCCGAGACCCAGGAACCAGTGAGGGGCTCAACAGCTTGTGGAGAGAAGGTGCGTGAGATCGCAGAGTGATGTCACAGCTAAACTGGTATGTGACTGGCTGTTTGATGGGTCAGTTTAACTCTTCAATTTTCTATTGTAACCGAATAACCTGTTGAGAATTGGATTAATGTTTTCTAGTGTGTAATTTTTGGGTTAATTGAAGGGATAGCAGGCCAGCTCAATGAAGTGGTTGCTCCACCTGTAATATGTGGGAGTTCTTGGATGCTGATTGCATTGATTAGTAACACATGTGGAAGAGGTGCCGTCATTATCTCCAACTCGAGCACTGGGTTATGGAGTTTGAGTGACGTCTGGAGGCACTGAGGAGCATCTGGGAGAATGAAAGTTATGTGGGTAGCCTGTACAAGGCGGTAGTCACCCCACAGTGTATAAGGGTGCAGGACATATGGAATGGGTGACACTCGCACACAATCATAAGGTGAGGCAAGTAGTGCAAGAGTCCCCCAAGGCCATCCAATAGCCAACCGGTACTCTGTGCTGAGTTCTCGTGATGGTGATACTGTCTCAGGGAATTGCAGCCAAAGCCAAGCCCGCAGCACTGCAGGTTGCTCGACTGCTCAGACGGGTGAGAAAAAGATGGTTAGGACCGTGGTGATAGGAGACCCAAAGGGTGAGGGAACAGCGAACAACAAGATAGTGTGAAGCCTCCTTAGTACACGGGACCTGCAGGGTACTGCGTGTCTGCAGAGCATTTAGGGAGTGATTGAAGGGAACCAGCTAATGGTCGTGGTAAACGTTGGTACCAACAACATAGGTACTAAGAAAGATGACGCCCTGAAGGCTGAGTTTAGAGAGTTAGGAGCCAGATTGAAAGCCATGACGTCAATGGCAGTAAACACCGATTACTACCTGTGCCACATGCTAGTGAGGTTAGGAATTGCTGATTAGACAGTTTAATATGTGGCTGAGGCAGTGGTATAAAAGGGAGGGCTTTTGGTTTTAGATAAATTGCATAATTATCAATTGCATACAACGTGGCAAAGATTAGTGGGAAAATAGATTTTTGAGAAATCTTTAAATGTCAACAGATCGCCACGAGAAAAGCGATAAAGAAAAGTAAGATGGATTATGAAAGCAAATTAGCTCAGAATATAAATACAGATAGCAAAAGTTTCTCGAAATAACTAAAATGAAAAACAGAGACTAAGATAAACATTAGTCATTTAAAGAACGAGAAAAGAGATTTAATCATGGGAAATGAAGAAATGGCTGAGGTGCAGAACAGGTATTTTGTGTTGGTCTTCACGGTGGAAGGCACAAATTCCATGCCAATATTCGATTTTAAGGAGGCTATGGAGGGTGAGGACCTAAAAACGATAATTGTCACTAATGAGGTAATGTTGGGCAAGCTAATGGGGCCAAAGGTAGGCAAGTCCCCTGGCCTGATGGAGTGCATCACAGTATAGTATAGAGATGGCAGGGAAAATAGCAAATGTGCTTGTGGTAATTTATCTAAATTTGGTGGAATATGCAGGGGTTCCAGCAGATTGGAAACTAGCAAATGTGATGCCACTGCTTAAAAAAAATGAGGCAGACAAAAGGCAATTAATTATAGACCAATTGGTTTAACTTCTGTAGTGGAGAAAATGTTTGAATCCATCATCAAAGAAGAAATAGTGAGATATCTGAATAGCAATTGTCCCATTGCACAGATGCAGAATGGGTCCATGAAAGGCAAGTTATGTTTAATTCACTGGAATTCTTTGAGGACATTATGAGCACAGTGGACAGGGGGAACCAGTGGATGTGGTGTATCTGGAATTCCAGAAAGCATTCAACAAGGTGATGCACAAAAGGCTGCTGCATAAGATAAAGGTGTACAGTGTTACAGGTAATGTATTAGCATGTATAGAAGATTGGTTAACGAACAGAAAGCAAAGAATGGGAATAAATGAGTCTTTTTCAGGTTGGCAATCAGTAGCTAGTGGTGTGCCTCATCGATCAGTGTTGGGACCGCAATTGTTTACCATTTACATACATGATTTAGCGATGAGGATCAAGTAGAGTGTGTCAAAGTTCGCACAAGAATTTTGTATATATAAGAATATATAAGAAGAATGTAGGTCCATTATATGCAGAGTTAGTAGAATTCATTAGGGGAAGCAGAGAATTGGCAGAGAAGGTAATTGATTAATTTGTGTCTTTTTTCATTGAGGACGATATAAATAATCTCCCGGAATTCGAGATCCAAATTACGACACAGAGTGAGGAATTGAAAGAAATTAATGTTAGTATGAAGATTGTAGTGGAAAAATTAAGGGGGCTGAAATGGTAAAAGTACTCACGAGCTTAGACTCAAAGTCGCAGACTATTGAGGGAGGTGGCTGTAGTTGCTTGATGCATTTGTGATCACCTTCAAAAATTCTCTTGATTCTAGAATTATCCCTACAGATGTCAAAATTATATACCATTCAACCAATAAATGTTAATGCATTATCATCATATCCGGGTTTACAAATTGACATAAATGTATTGGGCAATTAACTGTTCTGTTGCACTTGCATATTCTTGATAAAAATCAAATAAAACCACGTGAAATTGGAGCTGAAGTAGGCCATTCAGCCCAGTGAATCTGTTCTGTCATTCAATGAGATCATGGCTGATCTGACAATATTCAACGCCACTTTCCTGCATTTTTCTTATCACCCTTATTGTTTAACTTATTGTTTAAAAATCTGTCTATCTCAGCCTTGGGTATACTGAATGGCTCAGCCTTTACATCCCACTATTCGGAGATTATGCCCTCTAGTACTCCCACAAAAGGAAAAAAAACGTTTCCCTACCTGCCTTGTCAAGTTGCCTAAGAATCTTATATGTTTTAGTTAAGCCATCTCTCATTCTGCTAAATTCCAATAAGGAAGGCCCAACCTCCTCAACCCTTCCTCATAAGGCAGTCCTTCCATGCCTGTTGTCAGCCTGGTGAAACTTCTCTGCATTGCCTCCATTGTCAGTATGCCTTTCCTTAGATGAAAGGCCCAAAACTGTTCGTAGTATTCAAGTGTAGTCTGAACGGAGCCTTGTATACTTTTAGCAAAACCCGTCTATCGTTATACACCTGTCCTTTTGAAATAAGGTCAACATTCCTTTTATCTACAACAGTGTGCATTGAACTTGAATGATTGCTTTTTGTGATTCATGAACAAGGACTCCTAAATCTATGCAGTTTTCTGCAGCCTTTCTCCAATTAAATATTATTCAGGTATGAAGGCAAAACAAATTTGGTAAAAGAAGCAGTATCATTTCACAGCACTTCAAGTTCGTCTAAAAAAAAACAAAATGCAATGCTTCCTTCTCAGCTTGGTATGCACATTGTACGAGAAGCACTGTCCGGTCCATTCATGGCTTCTTAAAGGAATGGCTCCCATTAGAGCCCTGTCCTGTTTCAGAAAGTTCCTTCTCCGCCTGTCCAATGATAATTCTAATTGCGAAATAACTCGTGAACATTTAAAAGGTGATATCTGGATTTTAAACCATGCAGGCAGTATAGTAGATCGTAATGTTACAAAGCTTCAAAATAAAAGGTTTACATCTTTTTGCAGATCATATAGTTTATTCTAATGTAAAATATTGTCAAATATGTATCAACAACATTTATGCCAAGTGAAAAACTATGCTTCATAAACTACATCACCACATTTGAAGGAATAACTAATGATCCTTGGAAGTCGTTTTATCCATCATGTGCTTCTTTGTATTTCTGTCTTTTCTCAGCAGGATAATGTAACACTTACGGGCAAAAATACAGAAACCTAGTCCATAGCTGGATGCTAAAATCGCAAAGACTTGCACAGCTACAGCATATTTACCAGGGGAGCTGATATACGCTGGAATAAAAGTTATCCACACAGCGCAAAAGATAAGCATGCTGAAAGTTATGTGTTTAGCTTCGTTGAAATTGTTTGGAAGTTGTCGAGCAAGAAAAGCAACCACAAAACACACACAAGACAGAAATCCAATATAACCCAGTACACAATAAAAGGCTATCGGCGAACCTACATTGCATTCAAAAACAATTATTTCGCTGAAATAATCGCTATTCTTTAAAGGGTAAGGAGGTGACGTTCTTAGCCAGACTGCGCATATTAAACATTGCACCAAGTGTAAGGATTCACACCGATAGACGCTGCTGTGAAGGTCCAAACCACCCCATTGTGTTATTTCTGGGAAGGACCGCATTAAATGCCATCACCACAACAACTGTTTTACTCAAAACACACGAAATGCAAAGAACAAAAATGACACCAAATGCTGTGTGACGCAATATACAAGACCAGGTGGAAGCTTCTCCAAGGAATGTCACTGAGCACAGAAAACACAGAGTTAATGCACAAAGAAGCAAAAAGCTCAACTCGGAGTTGTTGGCTTTAACAATTGGAGTATTTCTGTGAACATAAAACAAAACAAGTACACCGATTGTGATGGAGGCTCCGAGAAATGCCAAAGTCACCAAAATAATCCCCATCAGATCGCCAAAAGAAAGAAACTCAATGTCCTTCAATATGCATTCGTCTCGTCTCCAGTTGGACCGGTATTCCCACGGACATTTAATGCAATCTGGTGAATCTAAATGAAAGAAAATAAACTTGTATTGGAAAATGAATATAATTTTTACAAAACACACCACAGTGTTAACACTCAATAATTCAGTTCTTAACATTTCAGTCAGTTAGATTGCCCCTGCGTTCTATTCGCCATTTATGTTCTGTGATTCCAGTAAAACCACAAAGGCCTTCTAAAATTCTGAAATCCTCTGTCAGCAAGCAAGCAATTACAGCAGTCAATCGTCCTGCTGGTGCTTACCAGTGGTGTTGCTAATTTCACCATTAGCGCATTTAATGCAGTCAAAGCAGCAAAGAGATTGTCCTTTCCTTGTTGCTTTCCTTGTTCCATTGGGGCAGCTTTCGGAACAAACTGCTCTTGGAACCTAATTATGAAGAAGAAGAAGTTATAGTTCTGTATTTACTAACTGATATTCAACATTTGACAATTTTCTTTAAGAAAGAGGGATGCAGGAAATTGCTCTTTAACATTGCAGATGGTACCATTGTTGTAATTATAACATTAACGTGATGACGCGCTAATTTAATCTTTGGGAAATTATTGGAATGGGCATTTAAGAAACCAAGTTGGATTTGTTTATGGGATGTGGACAAGGCCACAATTTGTTCCTGATCCCTCAATGCGGTTTATTTGGCTATTTCTGAGAATGGGACAAAAAGCGACAGCAGATTCCCTTTCCGAAAGAATATTATTGGATCAGACGTGTTTTTACAAGAACCGTTAGTGTGCTAGATTTTCACTCAAGACGTTATGGAATTCAAATTTCATTATCTGAAAGGATCGTTCCTGGAACATTAGCCTGGTGCTCTCTGTTTCTATCCTTGTTGCGATGTTACTACTGACTCCTTTCTAAATGCAAGCTCTGCTTCACAAGTTTAGCAGCTTTTTTCTTCGCCATGTAATTAACTTTTTGTCAGGAAATTAAATAATAAAAGATGAAATTTTCGCCTTTATATCTAGAGAACTGGGACAGAAAAAGAAGGACGTTTTTCAACAATTATATAAGACCATTGTTAGGCCATATCTGTGGAAATTACATTCAGCGTTGGCTCTGCAGCTTAGTACAGATGGATTGACTTTGGAAACGGTGCAGCCCATATCACCAGAAAGCTACCAAAGGTGGCATAGTGGTTCATGGGGGAGTTTGCTTGAACTAAACTTGCATTCCCTAAAATCTCAAAGCTAAAACAGGATTTGGTTCGTGCTTTGGTTAGATTTAAAGGAATTAAAGTCAAAGAGTCATCAATCATAGAAACAGGCCATTCGGCCCAACATGTCTACACCAACTGCATTTATCCCATTTACCTGCATTTGGTCCATAGCCTAATGAACATTTTAAGTGCACCTCCCAAAGTGTCATAAATGTTGTGAGCGTGCCTGTCTCCACCGTCCTTTCAGGCAACATGTTTCATTCTCTGCCACCTTCTCGATGAAATCATTTTTCCCCAGCTTTCCTCGTCATCGTAAACTTATACCTTCTGATTTTAGAAACGTCTACCGTGTGTAAAGATTCTGACGACGTGCCGTGTCTATGCCTCTCATGACTGTGTATACCTCAATCAGAAAACCCCAACCCTCCCCCAATCTTCTCTCCTCCACGGAAAAAAAACCGTAGCTAATCCGGCTAAGGAAGTCGATCCGTTCTGAGGAAGGGTGACCGGACCTAAAACGATAACTCTGTTTTTTTTTTCTTCCTTCACAGATGCTACCAGACCTGCTGAGTTTTTTCAGCAACTTTGTTTTTGTAGCTAATCTGGCTATCTACTGAGATTTGTTATAATTGATGGATGGGGACTTTTCAGCTCGCTGCCATAATATCCATACCGTAATTTGGCCTCCACTCCATACAATTGCTTCATCCTTTACTATAATTTCTTGGCCTGGTGTGCCTGAGCCGTCATAGACTCCAACACCGACGATGTCCACGCCGCCAGCCGCGTTGGGTTGCCAGTTTACAATGTCATAGGTGGCCACTGGATCTCCGTTATTATCAAAATGGACGTTTTCATCAATTTTGGTCGTGAAATTGACTGTTTTCATATAATGCAGTAGCTTTAAAATGGAGGAAAAAAATCAGAAGTTGACAATCTGTGTTTAGAATAAAATTTGAACTATATAAAAGCGTGTTAGTACTCATTTGCTTTTCATACTGGAATCGAAAATCATTTAGAAATGTACATACATTCAGAATGTGCCCCTTGAGATGGGAATACTAGACTATAATAGCAAAGTCACTGAGCTAGTTAATTAGAGCCCGGTAGAAATATTATGGCAATTGATGGAATTTAGGTGCAGTTAATAAATCCGAATTTAAAAATATTCTCGGTAATGGTGACCGTGAAATCATTGTCGATTGTTGAAAAGTCCATCTTGTGCAGTAATGTTAATTCGGGAAGGAGGTCTAACGTTATGACATCGTCAGCCCTACAAGCGATTCCAGACATAAACAATTTTGACTTTGACGTATCCTGTGAAATGGCCAAGCACCGTGCATAGTTCAAACACAGTCAGGAATGAGTAATAAATGTTGCCCTCATTGAAGACGCCTATGCCGCATGAAAGAATAAGCAAAAAAAAATGGTCTAACTGACCTCTTACCTGCCACGGTTGGAAACTTGAGATATTTGCGCAAGTATTTTCGGAAAATGGTCCTTTGCCAGTTTTACACGACAACATGTCATGGAGAGCGTGGGCAATGGCATATATAGCTTTATATACATTGTAAGTAACCCGGTACTGTGAGACATCAGTAAGTTCATTGTGCGTCATCCGTAAACTCTCTCTTCCGGTACATTCCTTCCACTTGTTGGAGGGAACTTGATCCGTTCTGTTATCTGTGCCCCTCAACGCACAGCCGAAAGTTAATTCCCAAAACTCTTTCACTAACCGGTTGCCTGGATATATGGATGGATGGACGTCCAAAAGAAATTCTCTCAGTCCTGGTATATTTACCTGGTGAATTGCAACTCCGATTGTGCCAGAGACAAAGCGCCTGCTTTCTTCCTGGGGCAGAAATTGTGTGGATACCCAAGCCTCGCTTCCTATCCATTGTATACCAGTCACGTTCTGTTGAGCAATCTCACTGAATAAAATGCTCATTTCCTCAGGTGCAACGAATGCCACAACAACTTTGGTTAAAGATTTCCGTACAGTATCTACGATTCGAAGTAGCTTGTCCCTGTGGTAGGTTCTGTGAATGGACTCAGAGAACGCAATGCAAACGCCCAATTGTTGGATAGTTTCGGTGAAAGCTTGCATCCCAAAGTTACCATAATCATCGTCGTTCCTAATTGTCCCGATCCATGTCCAACCAAAACGCTTTACTAGATGAGCTAAGGCTCTTGCCTGAAAATAGTCGCTCGGTATGGTTCTGAAAAACGATGGATATTCCTTCCTGTTACTCAGACATGCACAGGTGGAAAAGTAGCTGACCTGTGGATGATTAAAAGTGGAGCTTGTCATGATTTCCTATTTTCACACTGGTGATTTTTTATTCACTTGCAGAAAATCGTGGAAATAGTCAGGCCGGCTGCGGCAATGAAAATGTGTGAACATTACAGAAAATCATGAGGAAAATTTAACACTGGAACATTAAATTTCCTCATATCGAAACGTTCGGGAAGAAACTGCTCGATGTTTCTAAGGTTTGGAGGAAATTTAGGAGAAACTTACGAGAGTGATAGTGGAGTGTGGACTATTGGGCTTCAGTTACAAGGAACTTTTAGGTCGACCGGTACTACTCTTTCCTGGAATGAAGACATTAATGTAATATCAACTCGAAGGGAAACATCGAAAGGTTTTAGGACAATTGCAGAGGAATAAGATTAATTGCATTAGTAGTTTGAAATGCTACAGCTCAATTCATCATTTTCTATGTGGAATGGTTCTCTGACTCAAAGATGGGCGATACTTAATATTTTCTTCATTGCCTCCGTTTCTGTTAATGTTGCAGTGCATTTAGAATTAAGGTGCGACACAGGGAATACGCCAAGTCACATTCAAGCTAATGGAGTGTTTTCTTTAAGTGAGGCAAGGAGAATTGAATGCAAAAATACATTACTTGCAATGTTACCCAACAGAGAACACAAGAAACAGCAATCTGAGAAATAGACCGAGTTACTTTTCAACCGAAATCACGATCAGACAAGTAAATGCTTCATGAATTTACATCCTGTCTCCATGCCTTGCCGACATATTTCAACATGATATCAGTTAAAACTGATTTCATTTATTTAAGATATCTTTAAATGCAAGAAACCGGGTATCAAAACGGAATTTCACAGAACTTTACAGTTGGAAAGCAATCCATTCCGACTCAGTTCTGCACTCACGTCTGTATTCACAGGACACCCACATTTCTTTATCCTAACTCATCAATGTCCTTCATTCCTTCATCCGTGCGCACTTCACCAGCTTCCCCTTAAATGCAACGATTCTACTCAGCTTCACCATTTCATGCGGCATTGCATTCATTTTTTTTATTTAAGAAAGAAAGTCTGAAGAATTCTTTCTGGGATTTATTTGTGACGATCTCCTTTTTAAGCTTCCTTCTGCTTCCACAAATGGGAGGACTTTTTCCAACTCCCTCCTATCGAAACCCTTCTTAAAGTTAAAATACAAGTTCACTTTCAATCCCCTCTTTTCTAGACAAAAGAGCCATTGGATGTTCAATCTTTCCTGACTGAATTACAAAGTAACACCTAAATGATGCCATTATTCTTAGTAGTTAAAATAGCTCTGTCTGCATTTACTCATAATTTAGGTGTAAAATGAGAACACTATGATTTTACAAAGTTTTTTTTTAATTCATTCAAAGCATATGGGTGTCACTGGCCAGGCCAGCATGCTTAATTACCCAGAGGGCAGTTGAAAGTCACGCGGATTGCTGTGAGTCTGGAGGTACACGTAGGCCAGCGCAGGTAAAAATGGCAGCTTCGTCCCGCAAGAGCATTTGTGAACCAACGGGCTGTTATCCTGATGTGTTCAACATTAGGGTGTTATTTCAGATTTTTTTTATTTGAATTCAAATGTCACTCTTTACCGTGGCGGGATTCGAGCCAATGGATTCCATAGAAAAGGGGCTCCGGATGACCATTAGCTCAGCTCCTTATCTTTCCTATAGGTAGCGCTGGTACCACTGTCGTTATATAGAATATTAACGTGTAAATTTAATACCATTAAGAAAATATCTCGATTAGCATTTGAATTTATTAATGATAATAAAAAGGAATAAAAGTTAAATACTACAGATGTGGAAATCTGAAACAAACACAGAGAATGTTGCAGAACCTGTGGAGCATCTTCGTTTCTGAACAAGTCACATCGGATTTGAAACGTTAACTCCGTTTTTCTCCCCATAGATGCTGCCAGTCCTTCTGAATAAAATGAAATAGTCTGCCGTTTTGTCAATAATGCTGTTTACTGATCGTTACCTGTGGAATTTGGAGATTTATATGTGAGTCTTACCATTGGAATCCTGAACGGACCAATTAACGTGGCCATTGCTACAGACTGCGAGGATGCGGCATCACCCACAATGGCAGCGACAGTGGAAGACATCGTGCAAGCCAGTTTGGAGGAGGTGACTTCACCTCGGTTTAAAAACTGGAAAGTTGCTTTCAGAGTTAAAGATGGCATGGTACAAGTGTCATAAATTCGGTACCCCAGGGTAACGCTGGGAAGCAGCCTTGGGTTCTTGTTGATTTCTTCAATGGCAAAAATCATCGTCAGCGCGAAGCGCAAACCTCTCGTCCAAAAGCTGTAGAAAAATATTTTATTTTGCAAGTAGATAAAATTAATACTGACTTAGTGTCATTGTGTCACGGAGATATACAGCACAGAAACAGACTCTTCGGTTCAACTCGTCGCGCCGACCAGATATCCGAAATTAATCTTGTGCCGTTTGCCAGCATTGCGCCCATTTCCTTCTAAACCCTTTCCATTCATGCAGCCTTCCAGTTGCCTTTTAAATGGTCTAATTGTACCAGCCCCCGCCACCGCTTCTGGCGGCTCGTTCCAAACACGCACCACGCTCTGCCTGAACAATTTGCCTCTTAGGTCCCTTATAATTAGTTCTCCTCTCATATTAAACCTGTACCGTCTAATTCTGGACTCTCCTACCCTGGCGAAAAGGACCTTGACTAATCACTATATCCATGCTCCTCATCATTTTATAAACTTATTTAAGGTCACCCCTCAGCCAGCGACGCTCCAGAGAAAATAGTTCCAGCTTATTCAGCCACTCGCAAGAACTCAAACCCTCCAACCCTGGCAACATTCTTGTAAATCTTTTTCTCAACCCTTTCAAGTTTCTCGTTTTATGTCCGTAGTTATGATGACGTTAACGTTAATTTTGACCAACATATCATAATTGCAAGTCGTATAATATTTTGAGATAGTGCACTCAATAACAACGTTTCATTAAACCGTGCAAATAAATCTTCTTAAAATTAAAATCCAAGAAAATCAAACAGGCGATTGCATCTGCAGAAGCGCTTTCAAAAGGTTACGTTCATTGACAGATTCTCATACATTTTTGACAACAAAACAGTACTGTACACTTGTATCTAAAGTGTTATTACTTTATGATGTTTTTAAAATCCTGAAGAGTGTGTGGCTTTACTTCATCATTGACTTTAATAAATAAAATTGTGGTCAAACGATTCACAGTTAAAATGCTACGATTATGTTGTTTGACAGACCTTCAGCTGATTTTTTTCTATGTCTGGATTTTCGATGTGTGTGCCACCACCTGTGAGCATTCGTTGTTTCCTTTTCATTAGTCATTCTATAATATATCACCTCTGGCTCTCACTGTCTCCTCTAACGACCAGATCTCTTGAAGCTAGAGATTATGATGTCCAATGCGTACTTTGTTCCCACAGACTCGTATCTGCATCGAAAATCCAAGAATTTCACGCTGCTCCGATTTCACAGAGATCTTGCTGAACCGACTACGTCAATTCCCCATCCTGAGCATCAGTCCACTTCGGAAAAGGGCATTACAATCTTGAAGAAGAAGGTGACCTAATGCACAGATTTTCGATTGCAGGCACGCAACTGTGAACTTTGTTCAGGTTCTTTTCTTTTTATCATAAACAGTTCTGATAGAATAACTTTGGTTTGAAACGATTTGAATTGAACTTCGCTAACTCTCTCACTTCTGGTCCTCTGTTTATCTTTCTGCTCCTCACTTTCTAGTTCGTTTCTTTAGCTTTCTCCTCCAGACGATCTAGATTTGCTATTCTAAAAATATACTATCATCTCTGGACTACCAATCGAGGTAATGTTCGAGGGACCTGGGTTAAAATTCTGACACGGCAGATGTTGGAATTTGAATTCAATTTTTTAAAAATCTGGAGTTAACAGTCTAATGGTGATCATGAAACCATTGTTGATTGCCAAAAGAAGCCCAATTGGCCCACTAATGTCCATCAGGGTAGAAAACTACCGTCGTTACCTGATCTAGTCTACACGTGACTCCAGACCCACAGCAATGTGGTTGATTTTTAACTGTCCTCTGGGTATTTAGGCATGGATAATAAACGTTGGCCTCGCCAGCGTCGCCCACATCCCGTGATTGAACATTTTAAAAATCCTACATTCAAAAGATGGAATCCTCACCAATTTATTTTATTCCAGCTCACTTTAAAACAGTGTTTCTCACACCAATTCAGTCTAGTTTAGAAATTAAAGAGTAGACAATCCATCGCTCTCCTATCCTTCTCTTTTCTCACTGTTACAATTCAGAAGGTTTTAAAAATCACGTTTGGTGCCTCCCAGCTGTAATTTTCATTAAATCCGTGGTCACCGCTATTAGCGTTTGGTCCTTATCACATCCTGCACAATTGCATTTGACACATAGTCAGTGCTAAGACACCTTACTTGACACATCTCGCAAGAAAAATGATCCCGAAAGGCAAACGTGTTCTTGTCTGAAGGTGATATGAAGTCCTTCCGATGTCTGACCTGCTGAACGCTTCCACTTTCGTACTTCGGCTGTGTCTCGTTTTTGCTATAGCTCAGCTTCCAAGACTGGTGCACTTGTAGGAAGGACCACTACTAACACATAAAAGCACTGCTGCTAATTACACAGAGGCAGATACATACATGCGAAACGAATGACAGTAATAATGCAGCGAGATTTGCTTTAAAAGTTGTCCATATATATTTGAGTGAATAGGTAAGTCACAAAGGAATTGTGACTGCTTAAGAGCGGTGACTGAGTGTACAATTCGAGGTTGGAGTGCATGGTTCAATTAAATAATAACTTGCCAATTCCTAAGCATTGTCTTTGCATAATAGCTGACACATATTTCATATTTTCTTTCTGGGACAATAGCTATATTTATCTCAGTAAATATTTACAATCGAGTGTTGAGTGTCATCAGCTGCAATGTGTTAAGTCGCTTCTGGTTTTAATGTGGGTGGGACAAAAACATCGAATTCCCCGAGTATTTGCACAGTAACAATCTTGAAAGCTGGCCCTAAGATGTTTAGTTTGAAAATACACATCAAAATCTCTGATAACGAAACCTCCGCAAATCCGGGTGCTGTTCATGTCCATCTGGATTAAGAGATATAATTTCTAACCGCCGAAAACAATGACATCTGCTGTACCAATTGCTATAAATGAATCACTGCAACAGCCGTGCGTATAATTTAATCGAAAATTGCTTCAGTGGGCCGAATAAACTACGGATCTGTCGAGTCTGATTGTAACTCCTTGCAAGTGAACATGTTAAACACGTCAGTTGGGCCTTAAAAACGGCGGAGCTAGCGAATCACTACTAAAGCTTTTGGATTTTACAACCAATTCATTAAACTTCCAAGCCATGCTCAATATATATCTTAAAATTATAAACACGTAATAGCAGCGTCATGAATAACACTCTGGAACTACTGTTCATCCAACGATAGGATTTTGCAAAAGACGGTAAGACGACGACATGTATATTACATTGCACAAATGAAGCCTTCAATTCTCAACAGATATTTTGCAAAGTATGAAATGGTAGAAAACATCACAACTCTTGGAGACCTTTTACATTTTACCGCTTTTGATTGTTTTTGAAAAGAAAGATCCAGACGATCGATATTCATGTGCACACTGAAAACTCCGCCAAGAACAATATCACCTTCCTTAGTCAAGCCAAGCAAGTCATCAGTCCCCCATTGTTTGCAGTTTGGATTATTCTTCATCAGCGCAGAAGCAAGGAGCGATAACGATAAGACAAATGGCAGAACGCAACGCATTTTTACCGTTCAACTTGTGTCTCGTTTCATAGGGCAATCAATTATGCTTATATGTCCCAATACGTAATGACAATCCGTCAATCCGCTATCAATAGATTACTGGTGCGCTCAAAAAGTCCCAAGAGGAAACAAGCAATGATTCCAATTTGCCTGGGGTGCGCAAATAGCGTGTGAAGGAACAAATTGTAATCGTGCCCCTATTCCACCAAGTTCAAACTTAAACGTTTGCCATAGCTTTTCAATTGCAACTTAACAAATTTTCCATGTGATTGCACCAGTTAAAAAAATATTGTGCTTCTTAAAGAGTCTTTCAGGTTCTAAAAATGAACTACACAACAATATTCAAGAAAACGGTATCTTGTAAAAATGCATACAACAGTTGCAGAGGTAATCTATTTAATTGATAAAAGCATTCTGCTCCTGTCCAAAAATGGACAAATGTAATAATTTTAATTTGAATCTCAGTAATAATAGAAAATGAAAGAAACAAGTACTGCAAGCGATCTCCGTTTCAATGTCGTTATAGATGAACCTAGTAACAGCTACACCTCATTATCTACATCCTCCTTGATGCCTTGATCTTTTCAATCTCAGATTTTAACATACGCAAAAAAAAACCACAGCTATTCCAAGACTATATCTTTCCGTGCCTGTCTAGAAAATCATAACAGAAAATAACAGCGCAGCATTTGAGCAGATATTGGTTTACCCAGTAGGTTCATAATGCTTTGTGCCTTCGCCACAGCCCTAAAACTCCAATGCTGAATTCTACCTAACAAGTTCTTGAGAATTTTATATGATCCAGTGAAAATCATCTTTCATTCTTCCTGACTCAAAGAAAGTATGGCCCTTACCTACTCGATCTAACTTCATTAAACAATTGTCTCATCTCAGTAATCAATCCAGTGATAAATCGTTGCACTCCCTCTAAGGTAAATTAATTCTTCTTTAGAAGCAAAGACCAAAATGATAGCTTGTGCTTCAGCAGTTGTCTCATCAAGGATATAAACAACTTTACCAAAACTTTTTTTTCTGTGTTACGAGGCATCTTCTGAAATAAATACTAACATGCCCAATTTATTATTTCTAATTACTTGCTGTACCTTAATTCAACTTTCTGTGATTCATAGATTAGGAAACGTGGATCCTTTTGAATGCAAACATTTCCCAGTCCTGCACCATTTCAAACAAACCCATTTTTCTCTTTTCCAAACCATAGCAGACAATGTCATACTTCCGGCATTACAGTTCAACTGCAAGGTTTTGCTTGTGAACTTAATTCTAAACATTTGCTGCCATTTTGCATTTTCCTGGCAACTTAATTTCTGAAATAACTTTGTTCCATCAACAAGCTCGGAAGCACTACTCTCATTTCCCTCATCCAAGGCATTGACAGTGATGTTAATTAGTCAAGGCTAAGATATTGATTATTACAGGTCTCCATCAGTAATAGCCTGTGAATGATTATTTCCTTTATTCACTCGTGGGACATGGGCATCGCTCATGGACAACATTGATTGCTCATCTCTAGTTACCCATGAGAAGATGATGGTGAGTTGTCTTCTTGAACCCTGCAGTCCATATTGTCGAGAGAGACCCATATGACATTCGGAGGGAATTCCAGGATTTTGACCCAGTAGCACTGAAGGAGTAGTGATCTATTTCCAAGACTGGATAGTGAGTGGCTTGGAGGGCAACCTCTGGATGTGGTGGTGCTTCCATGAATCTGCTGCCTTTGTCCTTCTCGGTGATAGTGGTCATGTGTTTGGAAGGTGCTGTCTAAGGACCTTTGGTGAATTCCTGCAGTGCATCTTCTAGATGGTACACACTGTTGCTCCTGAGGTAACAGTTTGCCGGAGTCTCCTGTTAACCTGATTTTATGATTGTGAGACATGCTATCCTCTAGCTTAAATAAGATCAGTTAACAACCTCCCAGTTCGTTAACTCCTTAGTCGGCAATGGAGAAGGCAAGGACGGTGTTACCGGTAACAAAATCAGGATGACAGTTGTGCTCTGCACTGACTTTATTTTAATCAGCTTTGGGTTTTTTTTAAGAAAATGAGCAATTATATTGTATTGAATGTAATATTTGTTTTAACGTTAATTTCCAGACAACATACATTTAAGTAACTGTACAAACCTTTAGTTTGTTCTCACTCAAGACAATGTGTTGACTGAATGTATAGGAATATATTACTGCCAAACAGATTTTTTTTTATTATTCACATGTGGGATGGGTGTGTCACTGGCTGGCCAGCATTTAGTGCCTGTATGTATTTGCTTTTGAGAAGGCAATGATGATTTATCTTCTATAGTCATTGCAGTCCACGTGCTGTATGTTGACGAACAGTTCCCTTAGGGAGGGAATTCTAGGATTTTGTCCCAGTGACATTAAGCAACAGTGATACATTTCCAAATCATGATTGTGAGTGGCTTGCAGGCAAACTTACTGGTGGTCACATTCCTAAGTATCCGTTGCCCCTGTCCTTCTAGGTGGAATTGCAGATAGGTTAGAAAGGCGCCTTCTGAAGTTCTTTCACGAATTCCCGCAATGCATATAACTGCTGCTACTGATCATTGATGATGGAGGGAATAGGTGCTTGTGCATGTGGTGCCAATGAAGTAGCCTGCTTTATTCTGTTATTCGATTGCACCCGTTCAGGCAAATGGTCTATTTTATGACCCTCCTGACAGTGTCTTATAAATTGTGGACAGAATTTGGGGAGTCAGGTAGTGAGTTACTTGCCTTCGTATTCCTAGCCTCTCACCTGCTCTTGTAGACACTGTATTCATATGGTGAGTCCAGATGAGTTTCTTTTCAATGTTATTTGTAGGGTATGATAAATAAAATGATATCTTCAAACCAGATCATGAAGGTTTAATTATACATGGCAACAAGCAATCGAAGGAAAGTGGAACAATATGTGAGAACAGGCTGTTTTGCAAGAAGGTGTTCTTGACATGAGAACTGACTGTTTTGCAGTGATGCCTGGACTTGTTTTTGACCAAGCGCAGAGGGATGCTTGGGAAAAGTACTGAGAAGGGGCAATTCAACATGTAACATCAAATCCAGTGCACTATTAGCATCAGGGACGCTTCACAGTTTGTTGGACTTCACCATTAAACCGGGTTCACAAACGGTGCTGGAGAAATTGAGATCGAGCTCCAAGTGCCAACCATTGCAAAGAGGCCTGAATGAGCATAAAGATGGAAGACACACTTGTTGAATGCATCTGAAGTCACTTAAGCTAATAGATTCACTCATTGGTTTGCATATGTCTAAAGTAGTTTCAGCTAATACATTCACTCATTTGTTTGCAATATATCTAAAGTAGATAAAGCTAATTCATTTGTTTTGTATCGAAGTGCACATGTCTTCCCTTATTCATATTGATCATACCTTAAAGAACCAGCTAAGGCACCTGAGCAGTAACCCACAGGATAGTGATAATGGCGAAATGGTGATGGTAACACCATTGAATATCAAGGGGAAATAGTCAAATTGTAACTTCTGGGAGATGGTCATTGCCTGGCATTTGTGTGGCACAAAAATATTATTTGCTACTTGTCAGTCTAATCCTGGATATTGTCCAGATCTTGTTGCATATGAACATGACTGCTTCAGTATCTGAGGAGTTGAGAATGGTGCTAAACATTGTGCTACCACCAGCAAGCATCCACACTTCTGACCTCATGACGGAGGGAAGGTCATGGATGAAGGTGAAGATGGTTGGGCCTAGGACACTGCCCTGAGGAACTCCTAAAAGAATGTCCTAGAGCTGAGATGACTCTCCTCCAAAAGCCACAACCACTTTGCTGTAAACCAGGTATGACTCCAACCAGTGGAGAGTTTTCCCCTGGTTCTCATCTATTCCAGTTTTGCTAGGGCTTCTTGATGCCACATTTGGTTGAATGTGGCCGTAATACCACGGGCTGTCACTGCCAATTCACCTCTGGAATTCAGTATTTTTGTCCATGTTTGAACGTAAGTTGTAATGAGGTCAGGAGTTTATTTGACAGAACCCAAACTGGGTGTCAATCTATAGGTTATTTATGAGCAGGCGCTCCTTAATTGAATTGTTGATGGCTTTTTTTTTATAATTTTATTGATTATCAAGAATAGGCTGATGTGATGACCATTGGCTGGGTTGGAATTGTCCTGCCTTTCAGGTGCTGGATATACGTGGGCATTTTGTCATATTGTCGGGTAGATGCAAGTGTTGTAACTGTACTAGAACGGCTTGGCCAGGAGAGCAGCAAGTTCTCGAGCAGAAGTATTCAGTAATTTTGCTGGAATATTGTCAGGGCCCAGATCCTTTGCAGTATCCTGAGCATCCAACGTTTCCTGATATCACGTCCAGTAAATCGAATCGACTGAAAACTAGCATCTGTGATGCTGGGCACCACTGGAGAAAGCCGAGATGGGTCATTCATTTGGCACATCTGGCTGAAGGTTACGGCTTATGCTTCAGCCTTATCTTCTATATTGATGTGTTAGGCTCTTCCATCATTGAGGATGAGGATGAATCCCCTAGTGAGTTATTTGATTGATCACCACCATTCACAGCCGGATATGCCAGGACTGCAGATCTTAGATCTGACCAGTTGGTTGTGGGATTACTTAGCTCTGTCTAGCTCTTTTACTTATGATGCATGACATGCAAGTGATCCCATTTGGTAGCTTCACCTGGTTGACGCCTCAGTTTTAGGTCTGCCTGGGGCTGCTCCTGGCATTTCCTCCTGCACACTTCATTTGACCAGGCTTGATTCCATGGCTTGATAGTAATGGCTGAATGGGGGGATTTGTTGTGCCATGAGTTTGCAAATTGTACTGGATTAAAATTCTGCTTCTGTTGATGGCC